CAGTTTCCAACATCCCGAATCCACTGCGGCAGGAGTTTGAAGCGCTGGAATCCCCGTTTTGTAAATTACACTGTTCTGCGTGCCATGGACATCCAAAAACCGATGCGTGATCAGGGTTTACAGATTAAGCATTTAGGTTTCAGAACCAGGATCAACTAGAGCTGCTTGTCAGAACGGGCCGTTCCTCGAGTAATTAGTAGTATTTGTGCGGCGAACCCCTGAATGCCGGAGAATTCCCGCGCTCTTTGTTTTGTTGACCAAACAAATTATCTAGCCAGAAAGGATGGGCCCAGATGCGTTATACAGTGTTTTCAATTATTGATTGATTGATTGAGCTCCCAAAGAACCACAGGGTAAGAAGCCAGCAAGAAAAACAAGGTGCCTCATCGTCCTTTCCCAAAGCACAAACTGGTTAAGTAAAAAAGGAAGTCATGGGCAACGAAAGGGGAAGTGCATTACGAGACAACGAAGAATAGGATGACCGGACAGATGCTCACCGGGCAAAAGCTCATCCATTCCTTCACAAACCCGGACAAAAGGTCACCTCTCTTTTTGGCTACCCGGACTAAAGCTCCCCAGGCGAAACAACCAATATAAGCGAAATTTAAGACATTTCAATATGTTTTGGATGTCCGGTGAGCTTTAGTCCGGTAAGCTTTTATCCGGGATTGCAAGAAAGGAGCAATCTTCGACAGCGGTTGTAGGAGTTGGAGGAACCGAAAATATAAAGTGGTCCCCTTCCCAACCCCACAGACTCATGCCCCGACAGACGGAAGGATGATAGACAGACAGCCCTACACACGACCCTAGGCACACCACACGTGCACGAAAAGAAACATGGAGATAAGAAATACACATACAGACAGGAGGCTCACATAGGGAACACGCACTCAAGGACACTGGATGAAACAAATAGAATAGTAATTTCGCACACGAGCCTGTGGGACCAAACCCCAAAAACCATAAAAGGCGACCCATCCCGCGTCTACGGGCTCTGCAGCGCGCATTACAGATGCGACAGGAGCCCCCTAGCGGCGGTTTTTCGCATCTCATTTCGAGCGGCTAGAGAGAGAGAGAGAGAGAGAGACGAACAACCGGTGAGCAGAGTCCGCACTTACGAAAAGGGCCACGCCATGTTTGGACGCCGACACACGCACACTGCATTCTCGTCACGTGACGGCAAGATGGAAGCTGCTTTCTTCTTATTTAAAAAATAAATAAAAAAAAGAGGGGGGTTGTTTTGGCTTACAAGGTCTTCAGCCGCTCCACGAGAGGCGGGATATTTTTTATGTGTGAGTTTTGTTAGTGCTCCGCGTGAAAGCGAAAGAAAGCTGGGGCCTAGAGAAAGGGAAGCCCGACAGTGTGCGTGCACGTGCAAGCGAAGTGCATCTCAGACGAAAGGGACCGGGAAGGAAAGCCAATGTCCCAGAGTGTCAGTGCGTGACCTCAGTGACCTCGTTGAAAAGCTACGGTGGAGACTTGCTATGATAATGGGTTGGTCATGACGTCGCGGTACGTGCACCTGAGTTACATCACGGAAAGTAAAAGCCGCAGACCGCGTAAAGCGACAGCTGGTACGATTACTGACTCACCTTGTACGCGGTTTTATTTTTATGTAATTTAACAACGCTGTTAAATAAATGTGTCAAGAACGGAGAAGGGTAAAAAAACTGAAGTGTTTCAGTCATGGTAAGAGCGTTTTTCTTGTTTTTTTTTTTGTTTTTTTTTTTCAGTCAAAAAGAAAGATGCGGTTACGTTTCTATGAGCGTTTGATTGGCAATAAGCGAGATGACGTCTTGTTTAATGAGAGGACAAACACAGGAGGGACGATGGGATAGTGTCATCGCTCCCGTTGAAGTAATAATTGATAACAATAATGACAACAGACATTCTGAGCTGCAGGAAAAAAAAAATAGCTCTTTTCTGATTTTGAAATATGTTTCCTTTTAGCGTCTGGACTTCTTCGCAAGCAATCGCGCGTCCCTGAATGTATACTGACTAGTTTTCTTTTGTATACGTCCCCTTTTCGCCCTCCCCCAACCCCTCTGAAAAGCCCAGTTGTTGTTCCTTTGTTCGGAGCGTACATTGTCAAGAAGACGGGGGCTCCTCGAAGGATCTCCCGCTGTTTAGCGAAGGCGCTGTGGCCGTGGCGAAGATCACACACACACACATGCACGCACGAGAAGGAAGAAAAAAAACGAAGCTGTAAAATGATAGAATCCGACAGACGCAGGGGTTCAGCGCTGCTCCGATGCTTTCCTCTCTTCCTTCATTGACACGTAGAAAAGGTGAAGAATATGCCCCACTGTAGGTTCGACCCTTGTCAGGTTTCGGGTGAAAGAGAAACCGTTCTTCGAGCAGTCAAGATTGCAGACGCTGATAAGACTTTTTTGCAGAGGGGCCTGCGGAGAGGGGCCGAGTTTGGGGGACGAATCTCATCTACCCAAACCATAAAAGGTACCATGAAAGTATATTTTTTTATTTGCTTACTTATTCAATGTTTCACTCGCAGCATTTGCAGCGCTGAACGCGGTTGCGGCAATGTTGCCAGTATAGCGTTTCTTCTGTTTCTTGTTTGTTTGCTAAATATAGCTGTTTTTAGTTTTGTCAGGCGGGAGAAATGGTCACAGATAGCATATTTTATCAGTTTTCTAATCATAAGAACTTTTTTTTGTTTTACTAGGTATAGAATGTTTGATAGATTCCGTGAGTCATTCCTGCAGAAGTTACGCTCCGCGTTAAGAATTGGTGCGTCACCTTTGCTTTACTCTCGGCAAGACTGTTGTCAATAGTGAGTTTTAGTATTGCGTATACGAGCAAAAGTAAGCGCTGTGCGTTTGCGTTAGCGTTGCGTGCTCCACGCTGCTCATGCGCACTGTGGACAACACAACGCTAACGCAATAACACGGCACTTGCGTTCGCTCGTATACGCAATACTAAAAGTCACTAATGAGAGCGACGCACCCGACGCCTCGAGTCAAAAATGAAATGCTTCCTTTTAATTGTTTTCCTTATTTATTATACTGTTTTCACACTAACTGTCGCAGTTAATTGTATAACAAAGTCATTATTGCCCCACGTCTGAAAGTTAGCGGGTTTCACCCGGTTTCTTGGGACCCCTATTGCGGGGTTTTACATTTTTCTGGTCAGCAGTGACATCACAATGACGAGGTCTTTTTAGTGGCTCTTTTAGATAACTGGCTACATTCGAAACAGACCCGCTCATATAGTTTTGGTGCAATCCATATTTTATTCTCAGCCCAAGTCCTTTGGATATTCTTAAACAGTCACTGTTATCGTTCCTTTTTTGTGTGTGTGTGTGTGTTTGTGTGTATGTGTGTGATCCAGGCAATGCAAGACGGACGCAATCAACACAAAAATCGTTGCAAGTTATTACGCTAAAAGAAACGTGGTGGCATTTCATTAGGATAAGTAAAAAAGAAGTTGAACGATGGTCATCCAGAATGCATAAATAAAGGAAAACAAAACAGCTGGATGCATCTTACATAAAGCCTCCATCAGAAAATAAATGCTACACAAAACGCGAGTGAACAAACCAAAGCTGCTTAAAACACCCGGCAGGTGGCGGCGCCGATTGGGGGCGGAGCCAAAGGTGCCGCTTCGCCGTGTCCCTTCCCACTTGACCATTATGTTTCTGCTTTCGTCACGAAACGGCTCTGTGCAACCCCCAAAATGCCGCTACGTTAAATTGACTGTGCGTTCACAACTACAAAAAAAAAGAAAGTTATTACAGACAATAAAAACGAGAAGAAAAAAAAAAAGAAGCAGGGAGGGGGTGCGCAAAAAGGAAAAAAAGAAAAGAAACTAACGTATCCCACCCGCTAGGTAATTCACCGGCTGTAGTCCCTACGAACTATATACAATATAAAAGCGTGCTAGACGAAGCAGCGAAGAGCCGAGGCGTAAGAGGAGGAGAGTGAGACAACATTGGGTGGCTGCCCAGCGCAGTACGCCACCTGTTGGCGGCAAAGCGCGGTGGCCCCGAAAAATTTCGCCCGAATTCATTCTGTGTTGGCGAGCGCAGTTCCCCCCAAATTACTCTCTTTATCGGCATCCACATCTCTGCTTCGGATGGTCGCCACGCCGACAAGGGGGGCAGCACTGTACTTCCAGTCGTTTGGTTGGATGGATGGATGCGTTGATGTTCCAGCCCGTTTCACCGATGGAGCGATAGTTCGTGGGCTTGGAGAGAAGACACAAGACGGACGTAATGGGAGGCAAAGAATGGCCGTCATAAACCTCTACACGGACCTTCGGTACAAAGTGTATGCCGCAATCGTATACGCTCGACAAATAGGGCTTACGACGGCCATTGTCCAAATAAACAAACAAACCATAAATCGACTGATCGACAGATCTATAGATTGACTGACTACCCACACGGAAAGGACATCAATGTTATCTTTTGGGGAGCGGTTCGGCGTGGTCTAGAAGAAGCCGCCATTTCGGCAGGTCCAACTTACGTCTCACCACGTGTGGGTCGAGGTCGGAAAGATGGCCGTGTTCGACAAAGTTCAGCGTAGTCAGGTACGGCCATGACCTCCGATATTTGTGGTTCTTAACGAAATGAAGAATTGAACATGCATGCATCGCATAGCGCCTCGGTAATTTCGGAGTTAATAATTCGAACATTATGACGCGACGCATCCCACTGCGACCCGTCGGGAGAACGTTCTGACGTGCATGTGTCTGGCGCTTTATTCTGAGCCTCCAATACAGATCCACAGTTTTACAGTGTGCCACAAGTTGCGACAGCGGTGATACAAGAACTAAGATGATTCCATACGTGTGGTTCGTTCTACAAATACAAATTTAGACAATGAGATCATCAGTAATATGGGCTGTGTACACAGGCAGTTCTTAAAGGTCTTGCCTACTTGTCAGATGTAATCTGAGGAAACTGGACCATACGAGAATGGTTGTGTACCATTATTGTGGGGTCTACAAGAGTAGTGGGGGTGAAAAGAGCTGTGACTCACCCAGCTATGGGGAGCATCTTGAGCGCCAGTGACCGGCTGATGCAGAAGCCTGCACCCCCTGTGGCAAACCAGAAGGATATCTTCTTCTGCAAAGACGGCAAGAAAAGGACGACACAATATGACTTTCGATGAACAGAGTGCGAGAAAACATTATTACATCATCAAGAGTACTGTACTTCAATCGACGACGTTTCAAGGAACACATCATAATAATCATGTTACACGCCGACTACCGTTAGATTGGCGTAACACCGATCTCTTTTTTTTTTTTTAATTTTTACTATCAGGTTTTGCTGTTTTTACGTGGGAACGAAGCTACAGCATTCGTTTCCGGTGATAACCTTAATGCCAAATCCTTGTAGCATAACTACAATGCCTAGAGCTCGTCTCCGACTGGTGTGCTTGGCGTCTATTCTATCCATGCATCGAAGTGGTCTCGAAGCGACAACAAATGACGTCAAAAATGCCGGAGTGTCATGCTGTCGGATGTTGCGATCCTGGCGGTTGGTCGTAGAACTCCCGGCAAAAAGCACGAGCAAACGTAAGTGTCACTGTCGTCACGACGTTCCAACTTCTAGCTGTCTGGGCTTCCGTGAGCTGTTAAGCCGAAGGTCGACCTGCAGATCTGCCACATCCACAACCGCTCCTGTGACACCGCCAGGGTCGCGGTTGGCATCAGCATGATTCTTTCATGACGTCATTAGGCGGAAATTAAGGGACCACTTTTGCGTTTCACAGTGTATCTTTCTCTGAGCAGGTGTCTGTGTGCATGCCCATCTGGAAGGTATGTGGCGCCATCTACCTGTGGAGGTGAGCCGGAGTCTCTAGCGAGGATCTCCAGCGGCTGCCTGATGGACGGCTTGCCCAGGTACCAGTCCTCCCTCGGGTCGTAACCCTGGAGCAACCGAACCAGCCGCGGTACGTTGACATAGTTGTCATCGTCGAAGTGGCACATCCACCTGCAAGGCACAAGGAAGGCTACTTTTGAGACCTATACTAGTCATGTAACGTTCATTTGAGCGGTTTACCGAAGGCAGGACTGGACAGATTACCCCGTGACATCCTGGTTGATTTCGTTTCTCTTCCCATCTTTTCTGAGCCGCCCAACCCTACCGACATCATTATTTCTATTCCACCTTCCTGCTCTGCGTTCCTGCTGTCTGCACATGGCCGAAAAAATGAATCCGTCGGCAGACTGTATTGCAAATTCCAACTACAGAGGTTGTCTTGGCTTCTACCGGAAATGTCTAGTAGAAATACATGCCAGAAATATTTTATCGTTTCTATTGTGTTAAAGAGCTGGGTATTTCTTGAAGCCATACTGCGATAAGGAACGTTTATATGGGTCACCAGAGTTCGTTTGTATGATATGCTATGTTCATTCGTGGTCCATGAAAACTTTGTTCATCAGAATTTCCTCGAGTGGGCCCTCGGGGCTCTTGCAGATTCTTAAGATTACTTGGTAAAAGTCAAAGACCCCATTCAAGCAGTGACTCTCAGCAACCATTTGATGGGCAATTAAAGAATCGCTTATAGGCTAAGTCTTTCATTCTTGGACACATTTAAGGCTTGCTTGCTTAGAACAACCACTCATATAACTTTTTTTTTTTTTACTTACAAATAGTTATCGTTTTTGCGTCTCTGGCAAAACTGTCCATCATACGCTCCGACTGCCTCACTAATTGAAATTCCGTCTTTGCTTCCAATTAAAATTGTCTCTGCTCTCAACGAATCTCTACCCCCAAAAGAAGAAAAAGCAGGCTTGCCAAAGGCAGCACACACGCATAAACACGCACACACGCACGCACACACACTCTGCAGCTAAATTAATCGCAGTACACAACTAAGAACTCGGTCGAGAGCGAGCGGGGGAACGCCTCAAATCTCCTCCACCGGATGTCCGAAGACCAAAAGGCCTTCGCAATAAAAAACAAGAGCGACCACCTGCAAAAGAAAACAAAACAATACGCACCAGCACTAATCGAAAGGAGAGCCTGATTTTAGAGGCTAGGCTAGCCGGCCGGCGGAGGCTGCGAGGGCCTCTGAGCAGAGACGAGGATAGGGGCAATTACCCAGGCGCCTGCCCGGAGGTCCCCCTTTGCGACGAGGGTGCGGCACCGCGTCGCGTGTAATGCAGCAGCTGCCGCACCCTGCTCCGGGCAAGAAGTCGGTGCCGCGGAGTGCCGCAAACACTCGCGTGTAAGCCGAGAACACCGTCAAAAAACAATAAACAGAAAAAATTAAAAGACATTCAGAAGTAACGAATTTTGCCTTGTGGTTAGAGGGTGGGGGAAGTCTGACAAAGCACCGAGCACACTGCTCATACAAAGGACAATCTGCAAACACTGGGTGTGGAGGCTCTTCCTCGTATGACGGTCCTATTGGTCATACATAGACTGCCTGTCTGATGAGACATGTTCAAAGCACATATATGTTTATGAAGCGAACACATGCTTCGAAGATGCTTGTATGGCGTACGAGCACAGTGTGACTGAGGGGCCTACTGAGTGATGACTGTCAGACGCCAATGCATTAGATTTTTATTTTTTTTCGCGTAAATACGAAAAGAATTTAACGAGTAAATAAATAAATCAATGAGACTACGGGGTCTGTTGCAGCAGAAGAAGTGCAGGAGAGGCTTGCCTTCCGAAGAATTTCCGGAGAGAAATGACGTCACTATACAATGAGACTATCAATGAGACTACGGGGTCTGTTGCAGCAGAAGAAGTGCAGGAGAGGCTTGCCTTCCGAAGAATTTCCGGAGAGAAATGACGTCTACGCCGTCTTTCAAGAATGGCACCCACAGAAACGAAGCTCTGACTAATGCCCAATGAGGTAAGAGTTCCGGGGAAGCTCCCCCCAACCGCTTTCCACTTTAACCGAGCGGACACTAGAGAGGGGTCGACCTCCTCTCCAGCGATCGCTCTGCTAAAGTGGAAAGAGATGGGTGGAGCTTACTGAGCGCGGGCGCAGCGTCCACTAACACTACTAACAGGCTACAGTCGTGCTCAGTACAGAAATACACACGAAAATGAATTATTTATGATAAATTCGTTGCAATGTAGGTATTGCGTTCATTCATTCATCGCGATAAATAATTAACCGGGATACTCACTTCTTATTGCTGTCGAGAAAGAAGTCCAACTCGACCGACATCTTGCAGCACAGGGCCTTCCTAATAGACGAACAGAAGAAAAAACGAAAACGGACGTCTATTATTGCTTCGAACATATCACGCAATCTCAAGCATCTTATCGCTTGGCAGCCAATGAACTCGCGGCATTAGCCGAAGAAAATGTCCCTGATTGGTTGCTGGAGTTCCCGAAGCACCGACCCTATGCTGACGTTTTATGTTCCTTTAATTGGGAAAGTATTCGCGTTACGTGCGCGGTTTCCAAAGGACAAGTGTTCTTTTAACCGAAAAAGCACTCATGTTACGTGCAGTTTCGGAAAAGCAAAAATTGTCTTGTTCCTTTAAACGGAAAAGCACTCGTGTTATGTGCGAAGTTTCCGAAAGGGAAAATAAATGGTGCCATGTGCGCAATTTCTGAAAGACAAATGCTACGTTCCTTTTAACCGAAAAAAAAGTATTCGCGTTACATACGCAGTTTCTGACTCAGCACGCGGACACGCAAACAGGCGCTTGCGCAGTACGAACTCATCCGTCATGCCGATATCGGAGACACCGAGCGACTCTTCTCCGAAAACGACCTACGGCGCATGCCCGCACAGCGGGGAGCCAATCAGAAGACACGAAGAATTCGATTTGGCCCGATTCGAGGAATTCCCTCTCCGTGCTGTCTTTTTCTGGCGCGGGACCCTGCGGGAGGTTATAGTATTTCAAGTCGGACTGTAACCGCCCCTGTCATTCCAGCCTTCTACAGGGTGTTTCAGAAAGCAATGAACTGCGTTTTCCTCACCGGAAAAATAAACTGCGCACCGCCGACTAGTCGAACCTCCGTCCAAACATGCCGTTAGCGGTAGGGATCACATGCCAAAAGTTTCAGGGCTTGGTGTCAGCTAATTCAAAAGTTATAAACAATTTTCGGAAATTTTCAATTAGAAAATGGGGCCCCGTTCTCAGGCTATTAATCTTCGTGTATTCGCAGGCTCCGTTGGCAGACATATTCTGATTTGATTTATTTTCAAAATGGCTTTAAAAGTATGAGGTCGGCAAATTGATGTCGATGACTGTTGGATACCAAACGATGGCATCACTGTCTTTTTCTAGTTAAATTGCATTAAAAACACCTGGCTCGTACGTGACGTCATAGCACCCTGCTGGTGGTCATTTTCGTAGTTATCCTTGCCGAGAAAACCAGAATCGGAGGTGCGAAATACGCGTTAGAGAAGGTACGCACCTTCAGTAGCACACCTGTTCAGTGCAACTCATGTATAAATGTTGGACGGATGAATGGGGGATCGGGCGGTAGCTAGCGCCACCTAGTTGCCGTTTAATTCTAGCAATTTTATTGCGCTGCTACTTGCGAATATTCGTGGGCACCGTACCATCGGCCCGCAATCTGCCTTTTCCCGTACACCTCTATATCAGCCGGAGAGATTACGGCGGGCCGCAATAGGTGTTTGACCCGTTGCTCCTTATCTCGTTTCGCAATAAACCAACAAAGCGATAAACGAACAAATTACCTGTTATGCGTGGCGGAACAGTTGGTGTTGACCAGATGCCCATCTAGAAGATAACACGTTTCATTATTATTATTATTATTTTATTTAAGAACTAATAGAAACGACTACAATTGTGATGAGCTCGTTTTATTTTATCAAAACGTTCACGTGTTTAGCCCAAAGAAACATGGTATATCTCATCTAGGGTAATCAAACCTGTTTGAGGAAAGCTTTGCGAGTGTATGAACTACGCGGAAAATTTTCATTTTTTTTCTTGAAGTGGCAAGGTGCATATGTTTGATGACCGCTGCCTTTTTTGGCCACTAAGTTTCAGTCTTTCCATCATGGGACTTGGAGAAGTATATACTTCGTCGCCAGGTAATCGTATATTTTCCTCTTTTTTTTTAATGATTTTGCTAGGCGAACTGTAAATCATATGACAAAAAAAGAGAATACACTCAAGTTCTTTAGCTTAACTCTTTTGTCGATAAAAATATAAGCATCCCGTTTTGTTTTGTTTTGTTTTTAATTGTTAAATAAACAATTTTCATCGGTGGCAGTACGTGAGCAATCGGAAGAGCGGCGTGTTGAAAAAATAATTACGATGCACTTACTTGTCTTGATTTGATACAGCGGATCCGAGAAATCCGAGAAGAAATAGGTCTGTAGAAGAAAAAAACAACACAAATTTAAAATACAAAACACCAACAACAAAACACGATTATCAGTCCGCAAGGTAGCTGACTGAAGAAGAAAAGAAAGTTGTCATTGCCAAATGAAAAACATTTTTTTTAGGGCGAAGACTAATTTTTTGTGTCGTTACTTGGAAGCGTAAAAAAAAAGTCAAATTTGGGGGTTTTACGTGCCAAAGCAACGACGGGCATCTGGCACGCCCCAGCGGAGGACTGAGGATTAATGTGGACCACCTGGGGATCTTTTGACGTGCAACCGAAAGCTCCGTTACACGGCGCCTTCTCCGCAATAAGCCTCCGTCAGATTGTGGGCACCTCGGCCAGGATTCGAACCCGCCACATACTTTTAAGCGTAGCTTTTTAATAATAGCTCTAGTATGAATAAATGCGCTTCCAACTTTGGTCTTTGTTATCTGAGAGGCGAAGGCAACAAAATGGAAGAGCTACATGTAACTATATATATTAGATCACAATAACAAAAGAAAAAAAGAAGAAAAACGGACCAAACAATATCCGGCGTTTTTCGGATGAATGAAATGGGTCTCTTGAGTGCGCGCGAGCCGTTCGTCCGAAATTGCTCCCCAAACCCGACCGAGAAGCGATTTCCACCACCGACTCGACCGCATTCTCCGCTGCCCCAAGCTGCGAGGTTTCGGATGCCCACGTGACCTCGGATAAATGCCGGATGCCCAAAAGCACCCGACCGATGAGCGAAAAAAGGAACGCTCTTCGTCGACGCTAACCAGGCGTGAAATGACGCCATCTTCCTCTTTCCTTCGCAAACACACAGCCTCGCACAAAGTCGAGCCAAGCCAACCGGAGAACCCCCCACCCCCCGAACTAAAAAAAAAACAAAAACGATTGAGAATTGGCAAATGCTCACGGAGCGTACGTAATCACTCGCAGAAGTTCTAGTGCGCATCGCGATTCAAACAAAGCAAAGGAGCTCATGGCAATGAAACCCGAGACTCAGGAACGCAGAAGGTAGACGTCTCGGGTTTTATTACCATGAATCATCACCAGCTCGCTTGTTTTTTTAAGTATTATTGCAAAGGAGCTTAATTCATATGCATAAAGTGGCCGGCAGGAAAGAAAACCGCGTTTTTCTCGCAACAAAAGTGAACTATAGCATCGCTAACCGCTGCAGTCTCTGCCCGAATGTAGCGTTAGCAGTCCAGACCGAGGGTGAAAGTGTCCAAACTTATCGTTTCGTGATTCAAAAGTTATCGGCGATTTCAAGGAAGTTTCAACGAGAGAGAGTGGGGCGCTTTCCCGCCGGCATTCGCGGGCTCCGTTGGTTGCCATTTCCTCATTAAATGTTCAGGAGAATAGCTGTAAATGTTGAATTATTATCTTAACGGTTAATTATAGGAACTTTGGCAACTCCATCCAACCGCTAGCGCTAATGTGGGCGGAGACTGAGTGCGTGACAATGCGTAATTTATTTGTGCGATGAGAAAAACACTGCTTTTTTCAACGGATACTGTTACTAACCCCAAGACCAAAAGTAACTCAAATCTAACCGCAGTGCCGAAACTATAGACTGTAAAAAAATTAAGTAAACGTTTCTTTTCCTTGTTTATTAGATGCTTCATGGACATTATCAGGTGCAACTTCAAAGTAATTCGCAAATATACCCTACAAACTTTACATTTCCAAATCAAACGGATCGTTCGGGTTCGTCATCCGCTAAGCAACCTTCAAAAACCACGGGTCAACTTTTCGCAATAAATGAGAGCACGTGCCACTCGAAAACGTCCCGGACGCAACACCCGATTCCGGATCTAACCCGCAGCCATTACGAGCCATCCAAAGCACCCGTGGCGAGCCAACCGAATCCGAAAGGAAAGACGATCCGCTTTGGAACACCCGGGCGAGCGCAACGCGTGGCCACTCAAGCGCAAAGACCTCTGGGATGCGTTCTCAACCCCCCAAGCTGACAGTGCTGTGGAAGTTACGCGCATACACGAACCAATGAACCGCTTTCCCTTGATCACCTGACCCCACCCTCACGTGGAGAAAGGTAGTAGACGTCTGACTTGTCTAACAACCACGTGGCCTCCACCGCATTGTCAGCTTAGGTGACAAACGAGGCTTAGGTGATGAACTAGGATTAAAGCACCACACGGGTACCGAACGCCCGGGCACGATAAGCGCGTCTCGAAACACCTCGACGCTTCAGCGGAATGCTTTAATCCGTCGCACCGCTAATCCTCCCGGCACTTCCTCGCTCATTCTTACCCCTAATCCCTCCCCTTTGATCCGGCGTTTCCTAATGCGACGCATTGTGAGGGGATAACGGGGGTAAGCCTGCGGTGCCCTGACATTGTCAACAATAAGGTATATTATGCCGATCATTTGACCGTCGGTGGGGTCGTTCAAGAACGAGAGTTCAGTAGAGCAAGTAGCGTGCATCTGTGCCTAGTTGTTTCAAAGTGTCGAATGTCGGTGTGGTCGCTTGTATTTGTGAACCTGCACGAATATTTGCGAGCGTGCATGCGCGTGAGAGTGTTTCAGTTTGCGTCTGGTACCCAAATATATTGCGACAATCTTCGTGTTTTTCGTCTGAAAAAAAAAAAAAGTAGCAATAAAAGTTTTAAAGTTAGATATGCCGAGCTGAACGCAGAGTCTCCATTTCTGCCGATTGCCAACCACCGAAAAGCCCCCGTGGAACTAGCGTTCTAACCACAAGAAAACCCGTTGCAGCAAGAAAAGATGCCTAATCCTTATTCAGCTATAGACCCATCAGAGAAAAAAGCGCCACCTGTCGTACGCAACAGCAACTAGTGGCAGCCGCCATGCTGCAGGATAGTGCGCGCCGCTGCATACGCTGCGTTGGCCGTAGACGCTAGTCAATTCCTGCCCACGATGCCAACGTACTGCTGCGTACCCCTCTGTAAGCAGAGTGGGTATCTGGACAAGTCTGGCATTAACATATTCGGAAATGTACTCGTTATCGGTTGACGGCGGCGTAGCCGCGCAAACGTTTCCCTGCTGAAGTGCAAAAACGGAACACGAACCGTTTTCACGCTACGCTTCCTTGGGTGTTTGAGTCAGGTGTTTTTAATCTCACTTTGTTGCGTTTGGAGGTAGAGTTTTCAAGCTTCAGCTAGCTTGAAGAAATCAAGGCATCAAATACAAATATAATGTTGCTCGTGGTATCGTTTGTGGGCGTGACAGCTTCGCGAGCGCCTAGCTTCAGGTATGCACGAGCTCGCGGTGCTTCAAACTTGCGCGTGTAAATTATATGTTAGGTACGCATGAAGCCATACGACCTGACGCTTTAAGCTGCCTGTAGCGCAGACATCTGTGCAGCGCGTGCTTTATGCAAAGCAACATGCACGCGCTTGCAACTTCTGCTTCACTGCAAAATTTGCTGCTCTACATTTCCCAATTCTAAAATCCCCCTCAAGAAAAAGGGACTCGACGTATCAAGTAGGAACTTGTGTCGAATACGTCCTTCACTGGTTAACTTGCGCATTGAAATTTGAAGTCTTAATTCCAAGTAAAAAAACGCGATTTCACGAGCGACGAGCCAAGCGACGGCACAAGCGACTGCACAAGCGACGAAAGTCGGCTACGAGCAACGAAAATGTTTCACTGTCGCTTGTCCCGTCGCTTGGTTTGGGATTTCTAGAAAACGACGCTCATCGCTTTGGTCGCTTGCTCATCGCTCGCTCGTCGCTTTTATGCGGTGTGCTTCATCGCGCGACTGTCCGAGCGACAGCGAAGCGGGACCCCTGCGCCTGTTTTGTCGCACATCCGGAGAGTACTGGCGACTTCTAACTACAGCCCGTAAATTATAACCGGTTCCTATCATTTTTTGATGACATGTTTGATGTCGTAGCTACAAAGATCTTAGTAATTACCTTTTTCTTGCGTAGTTGGCCTTTATAGATGCGGCGACCACGAACCCCTCAACGAGAAAGTTGTAACTTCTGTCGAATTGTCGTTCCGAGTCCGATCGGCTCTTGAAGAAGCGATATACCTCATCATCTTTAACGGCTGGGAGCTGGGAAAGGTCGTTTACCCAACCCGTGATCGGGAAAACGCTACCTGCAGCCATACAGAGGCGAAGGGATCGACGAAACAAGAACGCGACAGTCAAAACAACCATAACGCGACAGTCAAAACAACCATGCCGGCCGCAACATGTCCTTCCCAATGGCGCCGGCCGCCCAATGTTGTTGGACTCGTTCAGCGGATTTTCGCTGTTGCCAGATTTTTTGAAAGGGGACTATTCAGGTACACAAAGAACAAAAAAAAGTATGGTGAAACATAAAAAAAAAAGAAAAAGGACAAAATCCAAGCACGTGAAAGAAAAAAAAAGCCAAAAACCAACCACAATCACATTGCGTGATTCACTGTACTTGTTCCGGCAGTTTCGCCAACCCATCTGAAAATCTGTTACCTTATTTTATCGTATTTTTCTTGTTCCAATGTGTGTTGTTTTTTCTATCTTTTATTTTTGTATTTTGCCAGAAAGTGTACCATATGCCCATACCTACATCATAGTCTTATGAGGGACTGATAGTATTTTGAAATAAAGAAATAAATATATTTCTATTCACAAGAAAAAACAAGTGCCCCCCCTTTTTCCAAACGTCAAGTGGCGCCACCTGTAACTCGCGTCACCATCGCCTCTAGCGAATCTTGCAGCGTCTCAGAAGGAGCACGACGCCAGCGCGCAACAACACCAAGGCGGACGCGTCTCTCGTCGACGCTTCAGCGTCGTTACCGCTTGGGGGGAGTAGGGAATTCACAAAGGATGACGTCATTCACAGGCCTTTCTTCTATTGGCTGAGGCAGGAGAAAACCGGGCACCGCACGAGCGGGAGCAAAAGAAATTCCGCCGCTGTACCGTTCTGTGCGGCGACAAAGGAAACCGAGTCACAAAAGGGACTTTCGGAAGCGGAGAACGAACTCGCTGCCTTTTTTTGTATATGTGTTTCCTTTCTTTTTCTTTATGTA